AGTTGTGATATAGTGTCTCAGTCTCACTGGTGAATTTGGAAGCCAAACTAATTAGAATATAATAATAATATAATAATTGTATATTATTATTCATATGATAGTAATAGCCATATATTGTAAAACAATTGCACTGTGAAATAAAGGAAAATTATATTTGTTTCTCAGGTATATTATTTTACCTTACTCTACAGTAGGGAAATTGCAATAATTTTGTACTAATTTCTACACTTGTAAGCAAGGCCTAAAACTAACTTTCACATCTGCCAGTGGCTGGTAACTTCAGAAAATTTACCAGCCATAAATATTTTTCCTCACCATGAAACTGTTTTTGCAAAAAACGGGCAGTTGCTACTACTACTACAACAACTAAACATATTTAATTTTTTAAAAAGCCATTTGAAATTAGAACCAACCACTGCATTTTAATCATGATACAAACAGAGAAACAAAGATAAAACTTGCATGAAAAACAGAAACAAAAACAGACAGGCTGAATGAGAACGCAAATTCACTCTCTGACAGCAGGTGGCGCTTATGGATCAGCAGTGATAAGAACGGGAAAAAATGCCCTCGAAAACTTTTGTGAAGTCAGTTCACTTCAGAAATACATTCATATAAACCCCCACCCCAATATTTATATTTTTCTTCCGAACAGTGAGCTTGCGGTGCCTGTACAGTATTTTCTATGTGCGTGTCTGTTAATTTTAGGCCATGCTTGCAAGAGATAAACCCTTGAGCTTTCATTTTGGAGGAAACTTCAGTTGAGCTTTTATTTTGGTGGAAAAATCCAGCTTCTGGGAAAACAGGTTTACAAACATTACTAATTTAATGAAATACTGTAAACATTTGCCCTGTGGAAAACTTTCACTGTGAACGAAGCGGAGTCCAGCCCGGGGTCGTCACATGTGGTTGCCGGAATCCACCTGCCGCGCTTTTCTCAAGCCCACCGGCCTCGGCTCACTCTAGCCCTCCTGCCGTTCCTCACTCTAGCCCCCGGCCACTGCTCACTCTAGGCTGCCGCTCACTCTAGGCCGCCGTGTGACACGCTGTGTTTCATTGTGAAAGCGAAACTACTTTGTTTGGCCTTCCAAAAATGGACACGACTAGAAATCAGTGGTTAAGTTGTATTTACAACACTGTTCCAGAACACTTCAACCCAAATATTCAGATGTGTGCAGCACATTTTATTTACTGTTTCCTGATCCTGGTAGAGTAGACTACAATGCCGGCTGTTCTGACTCACAGACTGTAAGTAAGTTTTTTATATTTAAAGAATTTGCCACTGATGATTCAAACGCAAATTTTGGGCAGTGTAGAGTAGGGCTTGTTGTTTGTCATTTCTCCGATCACAAATGCAAACATGGTTCTACAGTCGTGTGAAAAAGTGTTGGCCCCCCTCCTGTTTTAAATTTTTTTGCATATTTGTCACACTTAAAGATTCAGATCATCAAACAAATTTTAATATTACACAAAGATAATGCAAGTAAATACAAAATGCCGTTTTTAAATGGTTATTTATTTTATTAAGGGAAAAAAGCTGTCCAAACCTGCCTGGCCCTACGTGAAAAAGTAATTGCCCCCTAAATCTAATATCTGGTTGTGCCACGCTTTGTCGCAACAACTGCAATCAAGTGTTTGCGATAACTGGTAATGAGTCTTTCATATCGCTGTGGAGGAATTTTGGCCCACTC